TTGTCTGCGGGTGTACGGGCTTGTGAGTAGGCTGTCGCTCACTCTATATGCAGCATTGGGAACGGGTTGGAGCGTCGTAACCTTTTGTGCTACAGAGTCCAAAAAATACCCATTCAGGCAGCCCTACGCGCTCTACGGAACTGGAACCGGCATCCTTTGTTAATTTTTGGAAGGACTCGAAAGAGTCGAGCGACATGGTTGAAAAATTAAGTAACTGCAAATATCATGTTTGGTATATTCTGTTAAATGCAATTATGGAGTAAACAGAAGTAGAAAATTTTTTCGAGCGTCTACTCCGGTTTCACATGAATGTGTTTTTGTATTCTATTTCTGAAAACAATACATGTATGTACCCGTATGGGGTAACGGAACTTAGGAACCCGAACCTAATTAGCTCGATTCGGGAAGTGCCTGCAGGATACAGTCATACTAGGACATGGCTTCAATCTGAGCCCCGCCCTCCTAAAAGTCTTTTTGAAACCAGGTGAATGCTGAAAATCCCAATTGCAGACTCTTAGCCAAAAAAAAACCTCTTTTCTGTCTTCTTAACTAGACACATTCTTTGTAGCACAAAGAAATATTTGCGCGTCGAGAAGATTGTGCTGGAACTTGTACTTCAAAAAAGCCAAGATCTTACAGAGTGGCAATAGCTCGATTGTGGTGCTATCTTGTGTAAAGCAGCGGCGGCGAAAAACTGCGACTGCGAGCTTTCCACATCTACATGGCCATCTGAATCCCATCCAAAAAGGGCGTCTTTTTCGGGCGTTTTCCGGCTTTGGAGATTGCTGAGCGGGCTGGGCGAGGGATCCTGCCAAAATCAGCAACTGGCTGCAGGATACTGTAACTCCATTATGGCGGCAAACGGCTGATCGGCTCAGGCAGCCAATCGCGACTCATTGTCAGTTGGCGATCGCTCGTTCTCCCCTCCAGCAATTTCCAAAACGTAAACGCCATGAAAAGCATTTTTTCAACCTTTCAGGCACAAGCCTGGACTAAGCACATTCAGAAGTCCAAGGTGGGATAAAAAGTTCGTAATTGCAATTTTTATGAGCCACTTCCTTTGAGACTAAGGTTTTCTAAATTGAACTTGGTTTGACTTCATCAAAAAATTTGAAAGCAATATTGCACTAAAATCTCACGAAGCATTCACATCTATGTTTATCGGCATGGTTTGGAATGTTACGATAAACAAAGTAGTTCCACAAAAGTAGAATTCTAAGAGGCAAATCTGTCGTGCTATACAAGGGGGAGCTTGAATGCATATGGGATAATCACCCTTCTTGCTTGACTCTCTCTATAAGCGAAGACTACGATTCTTATCGTAATGTTAAGCATAAGTTACTTTGCAGTGTCCAATATAGAAGGTATGGCAACAGGCTGGGATACCTCAAAACCTGAACTTTTCACTATTTATGATCTGGGAAAAGCTATGATTATAAACGTTCTCATTTTCGAAAGGCCCCGAGCTTGAATATCAGAGAACACTGCGGAACCTTCTTTCAAAAAATGGTGAAAATCAATCTACTTGTTTGAGCGCAGCAGGGTCCGCCAAGTTAACAGTTTCACAGATTCTCCATAGTATTTTCAGGACATGTAAAAGCCTGGAAAATCCTTACATTTTCATAACTTTTGTTATACAAATGCGCAGAAACCCAAAAATCGAGCATATATGCTATTGTTGATTTTTGTAAAAATCAAGGATGTGGCTACGACTAAATTAAGCAAAGTTCATTTGTGTCAAGATAAATATTGAAACCCTGGTGCCCCGTGAGTAACTGCATCTATTATAAAATCGTAGTATCTTGGCCGTTGACGGTTAAGAGAGAAATTCATGGATATGCAAACTGAATATTCGAAAAAAACCTCTTCTTTTGCAACATTTGAAAGTTTGGATGGTTGGAAAATGACAGTAAGTTATCTAACCCGTCCGCATTACTCTGGACCATCTGCTCCCTCCACGCGATGGAAATACCAACTTCAATTTAAACAGACGTACGGGACAACAGATGAGGTCGCTCCCCAGTTGGCCGTAGGTGCTGGATCCACCCTACCTCTAGGGAAGGAAAGATGGAAGGGTTGTGGAGCCTGGTCGCAAAACCGCAGCTCGAACGTAAACGCACACTCCCATCCTCGCTAGGACCCCAAAAACAGTTCCGCGAAGTACGGTCCTACACGCAGCCCGGGCCCATCTGCCCAGAAGTCTCCCTGCCAATTTCCGCAAAAAGACTCTATAAAGTCGACAATGTACCAAATGGAGTAGGACAACATTTTTGGTGCATAAAGGAGGATTTTTTTCATTTATTAAATTCAAGCCAAGATAACGGAACTTCTTTTCTTTGAGTTCATGCTTCTTTTCTGACCAAAGGCTAAGCTTCACTTCTTTCAATAAATGCTGAAATAATCGCAATTACATAATCAATGAAATAACTAGTTTTTCACCCCAAGGTTTTTAGCTGCACAATCTACGATTGCATATCTGTGCTTGATTTCAAATCACGATAACTGAGAGAACTTAACTAAATTGCAAAATCAAGCAAGGTATTAAAATATTTCTGGACACTTTCAGCCACCAAATTTTTTTGAAACTTGAGAATTTTCGGGAAGACCATTCATTCCCCTCTCTCCTCTGCTCTGATAGAATTGATAGAGAAAGTCTGCGCTAAATTAACACTAATTAAGGTTTGCTTTATTGTTATCAAATTTTTCTCAAAACTTACAAGTGAAAACTTGGAACGTGGAATAAAAGTTGGAGAGTATCTATTACCATTGGTTCAACCTGATAAAACATGCGAAATGTGGTTTTCCAATGTTTGAATGGACTATACAATTTAGTAATTTGGAATAGAACCAAATTTTTTGCAATAAATGAAGGGTGTCGCTTATATGCGCTGACTATCACCCAATCTCACGTGGTAGAGTTGTCAGGCAACCCATATGTAAAGTTATTTTTCTTCTTAAAAAAAACATTGGTTCGTTTCCAACCCTTTGATCTACGCAAGTATATTAGATACATTACAAGAGCGTATTCATTTGCAACCTCTACAAGCTGATGAATGGAAACGGCTAGAAAGTTAAGGTTAATAACACTGATTTTTTAGAAGATCTCAAAGTTGAAATACGTAATTTTGGTCGAACAGTTTGTTTTAGGGATAGCGTCAAAAATGATTAAAGGCAGTGTCCCGGCAGATTCGGGTCCTGGGGGATATACGTGTGGTGGGGTTCCTGGTCACCCCACCGACCTCCAGGCGCAGTCCGGTTGGGTGATGTTCCTTCTGGGCCGAGAAAATGGCCCCTGAACCGGCGCGCGCAACCCCAACTGGCGCGCGCCCGGACGGCCTCCCCCGTCCGTTCGGCGTGGGACCCCACGAGCGCTCTCCCCCCATGGTGCATGCTATCCAAAGGAAAAATTACAGGCGGCAGGGTCTTTGCCTGAGGACCTCCCAACGTTCCATTGAAAATCTCGTCCAAGCTGCTTTTTTGGAATTAGGAAAACGCCCCAAAATTGGCCTTTTCAGCCCGATCGAAGCTCAAATTCGGATTCTACGTGGCGAAAAGTAAATCAAGCAAAAAGCTGGAGGTGCAAAATCTGCCGGGACACTGCCTTTAAATGAACCCCTTTTTATAAGATGAAGGTCTTGAAAGGCGTTTGGATCATGTAATGTTTTGATCAAGAGATATGAAAAGTAGGAAAATGTGGTAGAATGTGTTTGGTTCTGCTTCTGTTATTACCTACTTTGCAGTGTTTACCAGCTAACTCTCAAATTACAGGTTGCGAACGATATTTTATTAAAATTTGTAAAATCGGAAAAGCTACGTTCATTAAATATTATCGATGCCTTGAATTAGAATATCAAATGCATTTCACAATTCTATTCTAACAGAAGATGAACATGCCACATCACTGGAAGTCTTAGTCAGCACAAAACATTTAACATCACTTGGTATTCTTAGTAAGCACAAAGCACCTAATATCAACGATTTCAAGCTTTTGACATTATACATTTCGAAAAAAAGATGTTAGAAAATAGCATCAACATTTTCTAATCATGGCCTATCGCTCAAAGATGGGAAAAGACACCGGTTTTAATGGAGAGTACCGATTCGGAAACTGTATAAACGTCGCGATTTATACCGATACTTGTACACTCTATTCCTTACTTGCTCAAGTAATGACTTCATGCATTTTTGCTCATCTCTGCGCTTTCTTTAGCAACTTAAAATATTGAAACTGTGAACTGTTTTCACTTCTAGCAACCCGGGTACACTAACAAAGTACCACAGTCATAAGAGGCTTGGGAATTTTTTCGCTGCGGTTTTCGTGATGATGACGTAGTCCTTGACAGTTCGAGTGTAGTCGGAAGTTGCAACTCGACGTGGACGGCCTCCAGACTTCCAAAATTCGACAGAGGGTTGAAGATTTGAGAAAGAACGTAAAAGGCGAAAATCGCAATATGAATGTGAGAGTTGTGATTTGTTCGTTCGAAAAGAGCTTTTGTATCGTTGTGAACTACCTGACCATCGGCTACTGAATGCAAGCTTTCCTTACCGGTCCTTTCGAAAAATATATTGTACTCCTCTTTTGAACGATCAATCAAACGAAAATTTTGTCTTCCTTTTTCAGCGTTTCACTCATCACAGCCAGTGAATGGTTACTCTTAATTTCCGCTCATTTATCGAGTTTGTGGCGCGTCGAAACTGAATTTTGCCAGACCTGCTTTAGTAGTGTGGCATGACAAGATATGTAGTGTTTTCCTCATGTAAGTTGCTCTGGAGGGTCTGACGAATCTAGTAAAGTTTATTGAGATTGCGATGGCACACAGGCGCACATAGCTTTCGAACAGTGCCAAACTTTCTGGCCTTGCAAACACCAAGATCATAAGGGTACGTATGTCCCTTGTATCGTAGTTGTGTACCATCGATCGGTGGATGTTCTGGTACGAGATTGGAGCGGCGCCGGCACGGGGCTGGCACGAACAACGCTAGCGTAGACAGCTTTTTGCAGGATCGCTTACGTTTTCTCTGAAAAGATGCGTCACCTTGCTCTCCTGTTCTTGCTGCTCTTCGCTTTGGCAATGACAGTGGAGGCACGCAAGAAGAAAACAAAATCCATTTGCTCAGGCATGTTTGTAAACCGCAATTTAGCTAATCAAAGATGCAGAGCAGCTTGCAAGAGAAAGAAGGTGAGTTTACCAAAGTGCTCGTCATTTTCAAATTATAAGCAGAAAAATGTTCGAGTTTAGAATCGCCCACAAGGATACTGCAAAGTGAAGCGCGGTCGCCCTTGCTGTATGTGTAGACGGCCCGGTCGTAAAAATAGGGGTGGTAAAACGAATTGATTTCTTCTACCTATCTTTTTCAAAGCATTTTTGAATCAGTTTGATGGAAATGAATGTGATGCAGTTGAGTTGATTTTTGACTATGTAAGAAATTATGTAAGCAAAAATCCACCGTTAATCTACCTACAAATGACCAGCTTTTATGCCGTTTTTAACTATAGCTGTCAATCAGGCTTGATAAACCTCACTATTCAAACACAGCTCTTTCTTCTATCTGCTATTCAAAATCACGTTTAGTATTTTACTGAATTCAAACAAAGATCATATTCTCGAGTCATTTGCAACTCAACCCACTGACGACAATGTGAACCACCGGTGATCCAAGCACTTTCTGCTGCTAGGGACGATGTGGACACCACCGGTGGTCCACACCTCCTTCCAGAGGCATATCTTTTTAGATCTAGCATTTTCCCATATTTTTGCATTCGGGGTTGTCTGTGGCGGTCTATGAATCTATAGACTCCAAGTAGACTCCTACAATCCAAGAAGATGTTTACAGATGTTTACAAAATATTCCTTGTAAACAACCAGAAATAACAACAGAAATATTTTGCAATATCGTGTCGTCCCATAGCGCAGCCTCAAAAAATAGGCGTCGTCGGTGGATTAATACGTGAGGCTGCATACTATGCGTGGCAAACAACAACGTCCTTACCAATCACTCCTTACTGGTATATTTAACAGGTAACGAACAGCAGAAATGTGTACTACTAGATAATAAATATCCAGTAAGAGGAAAAGAGACAACAAGGAGAACTCTCTGGAGATATGCACGTTCTGAATTATGCACCGTCAAGTAACGTGCATGCTGTGCAATGCGCTAAGTTATGAGTGACTCGATGATATTGCAATCACATCTATGTTTTGAATCTTGAAAGTTGCTTGTTATGGGCAGCTAAAATTTTGGAAAACATCCCAAAGAAATTTTCAAAGTGCGGCAAGGTCAGACGCCCCTACTGTTTGGAATTTAGCTCTTTCGTAGCAGGTTCGTAAAGTTCGTAATGTGAAGATTGAGAAAATGTAGACGTTTGTTGGTTGTATGGTAAAGGAAAATAGCGAAAAGCGAAGCAGCATACATTAACCTGCTTTTATATGGAAGCAACAGCATGAAGAGTTGTGCGCCAACCATTAGACGCATTAACGCATTCAATCGTACATCCAAATAATTCTCAATTCATTCAAGATAATGCGAGTATACAAATGGCTGACAGCATGATAAATGATTATCAAAACATCAAGCGCAATCATTATGAATGTCGCTAAGTGTACAATCATCTTGGGTCTGCGAAGAATTACTAGTTAACCTTACGATTTGGAACCACTTTTTTGTAGAATTACAACCCCCCCCCCCAAACGGAAATTCTGGGTACGCCACTGGTATATACTACCGGACAAATACAATGCGTAATCCGTGAAATAGCAAAAACAATTTGATTCCACCCTCCTACACATATATGTCGAGTTCACTGACAGATAAGAGTGTTTATCGTAGTGACTCAACGAAGTTTAATACAAATTTGGCATGTTCTATTAGTTTTATAGAATTCAGAAAAGTAAGAAATTCAAAAAACTTGGGTTTAGCCTTCTCATTTAGCAATATGAGCTTTGAGCTGGGGCAGCTCACAAGGGAACCGTGTCGAGTCGAAGTGGCCTTTCCAGATGAGATCCATACCGCTTTGAGGAGCATTAATCGGTGATTCCATATCTGCTTTCCAAATCTGCCAAGCTCCTCTGGACGCCGAGTTATGGTCGTTTTCAGGTCAAAAAATTGAACGCAAAACTGAAGCAAAATCGCCTAAATTTGCTCAAATGGTCCAGTGTCAAGTATCAGAGTTGTCTATGCAATGGATACAATTCATTTAATATGGTAATGCTTAACATTGCTTTATTTGAGCGCTTTAAAGATTGTAACAATCGATTTTGCCTAAATTTTGCATTCATTTTTCGCTTCGAAGAACGGTCATAACTAACTAACGGTCGCGTCCAGAGGCGTCTGGCAGATTTGGTAGGCAGATTTGGAATCATCGATTAATGCTCTTCAAAGCAGTGTCGGTCTCATCTAGAAAGGCCACTTCGACTCGACACGGTTCCCTTATCAGCTCTGTTGCAGAGCATATTCAAGTATTATGCATTTCAGCGAAGCATAAAACACAGCAAGTACGATAGATCTAAGAACTAGATAAGTAAAAAATTGCTCCAGTTCCATTCCAGCTTTTAAGCTGATGTCTTAGTTTTGTGGCTTCGATAGAACATACGTCGACAAACAATAAAATTTCGTAATGATGATTGCGCATTGATTTCACCTTTTTTGAAGAAGATATTGATACATGTTAAGACAGCCACTGTTCACACATTGGACTGTTCCGACTCTTTCAAATCTTTGCAAAAATTGGCAGGGAGACGGCAGCCCAGGCAGCATGAGTAGACCAGGAGATTCCAGCGCTGCGGGACTCATACCTCGGCGCATAGGAACGAAATTAATTGTGTTTGCTTGCTGCCAGCCGGCAGGGTTTTGTGACCAGGCCTTCCACCCCTCTCACGCCGCCGTTCCCTGGAAGTGGAACAGACAACCGTGCGGGATTTGTGAACTGCGTGCAGCGCTCTCTCGAATCTCGTATATTTTCCTGCGAAAAGGAGAGCTTTTCGCTTGCATGAAGAGTACAAAATGGAATGGAAAGCGAGAACCACTTTTGCACCGAGCCATTGTTAGCTGTAGGATAAACTGAATGCGCGTCGGATTAGTCCCCAATAAATAGAGATCATAGTTTTTTTTACTGCATTCACTCTAGATTTTTGAGTATGATAAGATTAAATGACAACATTTCAAAAATAACGGGTACAAACAAAGTAAAATGTGTAGCATGTGATCTATAACACAGTCACCATTTCCTTCCATTTCGACGTTTACGAAGTTTTACCAGTATAGCGGATCCGATTTATAAATTCTCAGAGATGAGAGAAATCGAAAACACTTCACGGCATTTATTTTAACCATGGTCTATGCATTCAAAATCTTATGCCACAAAAGCATATGAGGCATTGCGCTGAACCCTTTGTACCATCCATATGCTGATTGTTGGCCTTCTTCTGATCGTATAAAGCAATAAAAGCAGAAAGTCGGCACAACTACCACCTAATCGCATTTATTTGAATCAAACGTCACCATTTTAGCAATCTCTTGTACTGTGTAAGATATATTGTTGCTCCCTTCTTGATCTGGAGTTTACAAAGCTGAAAATAAACTGTTGATTCAATGTAGACTCCTCTAAGTCTTTTACAAAAGCTAGCATGAATTATGGGCTTAGTACCCTTCGGTCGCGGTGCGGGAGGATAGAAAGCGAAAATACCCCGTAGCTCAAGTTCGTGCGAGAATTTCTTGTGGAGCGTGCAGGATGGTTGTGATACGTGAAGCTATTTTTTTCAAATCATCAGTTGTAAAAAGACCTTAGGTCATCGCGATACAGAAACAATTTAAAATGGCAATTTTCCCAAGAAGGTCCGCAGGTCAAAATAATGAGACGAAGTGGACACGACGATTTGATAATTTTCTGACGATAGTAGCACTACCCGAAGAGAGTTGTTTCATAATGTAATTCAGGGAGACAACTTGCGATTTTATTGAGAAACTTTGTGTAAGCTTGTTGAGTCTGTTTTGCTCTCATTGGATGCCGACTGAGCCATCTGCTCGCCTTTCTTCCAGAAAAGTACAGGGTGCGGCAAAAGTCTGGGAGCCTAGTACTTTTTCGTACAAAACGAGAAGGGAAGTACCAACGAAAAATTTGGCGCACACATAATTCGAACCACTGCAGATGCAGTCCAGTTTTTGAATTGCAAAACTGCCTGTTTTGGCTTCCACGCAGCCCTACAAAATCTTGGCAAGTCCACTTGTCATGGCACGCAGTTAGTCGTAATGGAATTCGTCCTACGCCTTCACAATAACTGCTTCTTTTACCTTGACAATGCACAGCATAATAGTGCAAACTTTTGTCTACAACGTTCTTCCAAAAGGATTTTTTGCATTGCTTAGGAATAAAAATATTGGATTTTTGATTAGAAGCATGTGTACGTCGCATACCGGAATTTTGGCTGCAATTGCGCGAATACAAACTTAAAAATACGTTTAAAAAGTATATAAAGTGTTCCCATGGCCTAAATTTGATAGATTCTATTTTAGAAGACGCATGCAAAGTACAAAGCCTTGATCTTAGCGATTGTTGAGCATTCTATAGCTTTTAAATTTGTTCTGAAGACGGATTTCCACTGGCACGTAGGTAACATTCGCAAACTTGCATTTTCCGTTCATGCAAGAACAGCTCCTGGCAAAAGCAAAACTAGGTCACAATAGCGGAAAGCCTCTTCTATGTTGTGTGCATCGAAGTTTTGTAAATTAACAGCATCTCTAGCTACAGCAAAAATTGTAAATACCAAAATCTGCTTTTTTTGGCTTTGCAAAAGTACTAGTTTGGTAATTTCCATTCTAACAAAAACACATGGCAGCCACTTCCAGCCAAATAAAGTGTATTCTGTAGAGGATAACCGCAGCATCATGTGGCATAAAGTTGAAATAAAAACCATCAGTACCTTTGTAATTGCAGCCTCCCAGACTTTTGCCGCACCCTGTATGTCTGTTCTTGGGGGGGGGGGGGGACTTTTCATACGATCGGGGACTTCGCACCTAGCCTTCGCACCTAACTCACACCTACACCGCATCTCTCTATCCACGTAATGAGTAAGATTCTCAACTACGCCTAGGTGAGTGGATGGGGGGGGGGAAGGGGGACTTTTCATACAAACGCTCCCCGATCACTTTGACCTTCTAGCCTAAGCTAGGGTGCTGCTAATACGTCCAGTTATCGATTGCAATGGACTAAAATGAAACGTTTATTATCAAAAATGCGTAAAGAATAAAAGAATATCTTGATTTTATCTGTTGTATAAAGCTTGTCGGGTTGAAATAGCTTATCATAGTGAAGAAGGCCCAGCAAATTCATTTTCGCAAACAACTGGCACAATTGTGGTAATGCATTGTTCGCTTTATCG